AAATTTTAAAATCTCTCGCGCCGGCTGCTCGGAGGTGAATAGTACTTGCTAACCACCTCCGAGTTAACCAATCAGAGCGCGCGAAAAGCACTATTCACTTGTGTGGTATATACTAACATGAAATATCTTAGTGTATACACGCAGTGGTGGATCTAGGGGACCCCCCTTATTTGGGGTAAAAACAGAAAAAAATCGCAGAAGGAAGAAAAGCTGGTAGGGCAAGCAACCCCCTCTCCCCCCTTTAGCAACTTTAGAATTTTAAGTTGTCATTGTCAATGTCAATGAGACAATGACTGAGTATTCGAAGTTCCAAAAACCGGGTCACATTCTAAAGATTTAATTTTGCGAATATTTGAAAAGAATACGCTCCGTCAATACTGATTAAAGACGTTTTACGAGTCTTAAGTCATGTAGGTTTCCTTAAATTTCTGCTCAGGGTGTAAAACTCACCTAGGGACGAGGACTGAATTTGAAAGAGAGACCAGTCTCCCAGTAACTGTTACCAAATTTCCTTTTCGCTGTGAAAAATTATTGTATCATGGATTCTATGTGCTTTCGTGTTCTGTCATGTTGGTAGTATTACTACTTAAAGTATGATTGGCAAGTCCAGCATTTTCTGTACTGAAATCTATTTCTGACGCCTCCTCGTCTTCCACCCTAACACCCAGAGTTCTTCTGTCCTCCCACACTCCACCATCAAGACTGCTTGTTCCATTGGCATAACACAGTTGCTAAATCTGCTCTGGTAAAGTAATGACTTATTTTTCTTGTTCTTCTTATAATTTCAGATGATGGCGCCATAAATGGCACTTTACCACCCTCCTTCGTAAACATGACAGTTGAATTGCTGGAAGGTGGGAAGATTATGGATGTGAAGCTCGGTGTTATTGAGAAAGAATCGAAACTGAACGGAGCACTTGGTAATGCATTAACGATAAACGCATTTAATACAAATCAAATTAAAAGGTAAACATATCGGTTGATCTGAACCTCTTTAAAACCTCTATTTTCATTCACTCTTGTTAATCTGCGCCTTAATTGCTCTTTAAGGGCTAGGAACATTATTTGTGTTCTTTATCTATTGTTCCATTTGACCAATTATAAAGAGCTTTGCAAATGCTGCGTGTCGCCCCTCACACATTATTCAGTTTGATCGGCTAGTCAGAACAAAACCCGACAAACGAAGATTTAAGAGTTTAAATGCTTTAGGTCTTAAAAGACCTAAATTATCAAACAAAAGTAACAAAAAAAAAAAAACAACTGAGATAACTTGACAACTACAAGATCTTCAACCACGCAACCAAAAGACATATTAAATGTCCATTAGAGACAAACTGGGTTTTTTTTTAGTCTGTGCGAGGAACTGTTGCTAGTAACTTTTCAACAGAGAAATGTAATCCGTAGGTAAACAGTTGCCTTCGTTCCTTTTCCTATATTCGATAATGTTAGTCACCGAATAAAAGGTCTCCCAGATTTATAGCATAAATTAAACCTTTTGTACTCAATGTACAATTATGCAACGAAAATTACTGTTAACAGTGGTTCCACCTATCTTAATTATAAAGGGATACATGTGTGTACTATGATATTCTTCAACAGAGCAATTGCAATTTCAATTGTCACATCCATCTTTTCTTCAACAGAGACGCTGGAGGGACAAAGCGCTTTCCGTTTAAAAAGTCCGTTTTTTGAGCAAGGGGATCAGAAACTTCAGAAACGATACTATGCTCTTCCAGACGATGGCCTCTTAGATGTGAGAGATCTTTCACCAAAACCGTCACACCGCGAAGCAGAGACGAACAAAGACCAGTGGTACTCAACCGAAGAAGGCATGCAGCTTTTCGGGAAGATCCATGGTGCTCTACAGGAACATTTTGAAGTCAGACCCAGCAGGGATACAACAAGTCATGACCTTTGCTTGTTCCTTAAATCCACAGGACAAGAGTTTGCTGTCAATTTTCCATATAATTTTCCCCATGACTCAGCGATCCTTATCAGAGGTGACAATCGAAAGGAAGCAATACGTTTGACGGAAGCAAGCAGCGAGGGAGGAAACACAGAGGGTTCCAAGGATAAAAAGGCACCTAACTCTGCAAAGGATGAAGAGAATGCCCAAGATACAGATGAAGAAGGTAATCTTGACCCTGCGAAGATATCACAGTCTCCTCCTACGTCTGCACAGGATGAAGAGAAGGACAAAGGTGCAGAGGCAAGCGGGAGTCTCGATCCCGAGGAGATACCACAGTTATTATATCAAGGAATTTATCGCCTGGTGTTTGGAACACATGTTTAAGCCGCTTGGAAAATCCCACTTCAGTTGAACTAGGACTAACACATGTAATAGCTTTTGGAGATATAAATTGGAAAGCATCCTACTAAAACCAGAGGTGACGAACGGTCCTTCAGAAACTCTCGAATTTTACGATCCTCGCAGTCTCGCCTTTTTCTTTTCTTTTCTTTTCTTTTCTTTTTTT